TCGCAGGTATGCTGGTCCTAAGCCATGTAGGGCTTTAAAGGTAATGACCAACACCTTGAATTGCGTCCGGAGACCAATGGGTAGCAGCTCGCGGAGGATAGGTGTAACATGGGTGTACCTAGGTACACCCAATATTGCTCGCACGGTTGCGTTCTGGACTAGTTGCAGTCTCCGAACGCTTTTCAAGGGTAGCCCCATGTAGAGCGCAAAACCATCTTTTCAAGCAGTCTCCAACGTTTCCAGTGTCTTTTCCCACACTTGGAACTGAACCCAGATGGACATTCCTTCCAACAGATGTCTACAGGAAGAGTATCCAAAGTCACAATGGTGATCAAAACTACATGACTGAAGACCTGGGTATTGATCCCACGATTGTGGCCACCGTCTTCACTTTCTTGACAGCCCCTTGGACAGCTTCGTTTGGTTCTCTTAATAGATATTATGGGAGGAGAACCATGTTAGTGTATGGCATTGTTTCTCAACCTTAACACCTCTAAGATGTGTAGACTTAATGATGGCTGGGTAATTATGGGAGCTGAAGTGCACATACCTTAAGAGCTGCTCAATTTGAAAAAATGCTCCTCTCCAGTAACCAGAGATAGAATAGAATGAATGAGCTGGAAGGGGCCTCGGAGGTCTTCTAGTACAGCCCCCTGCTCAAGCAGGGGAACTTATACCTATGATGGCAAACCTATGGCACACAAGACAGAGGTGGCACACAGCCGTGGCCCCAGTTCAGGTCTGCTGCGCATGGACATGTGCCTCCTGCTGGTAAACTGGTCTTCAGGTGTCTGCCACGCATGCACGTGGGGGGAGGGGTGCATATGGGGGGTGCTCATGCATGCAGGGGGTGGGATGTGTGCGGGGGGCACATGTGTGGGGTGGGGTAGTTGCCAAACCGATAGTTGCAAGGACACCGAACCTGTAGTAGCAAGGACCAAACTGGTAGTTGCAAGGACACCGAACCGGTACTTGCAAGGACTGGCTGGCCACGCCCACCCTGCCCCTCCCCTCCCAGGATTCTCCACGTGGCCCATTTTGGAGGTAAGTGCAGGGTCTGCACGGAGGCCCTGGGAGGGTGAAAAATGGGCCAACCAGAAGTACAGGAAGTCTGGAAAGGGGCCCATTTCCAGCCTCCAGAGGACTGGAGGAATGGGGGAAGGCCATTTTCACCCTCCCGGAGACTCGAGGAAGGCCTCCAGCGCCTGAGGAGGGCGAAAAGGCCCCCCTCCTGGTGCAGGAAGCTGACTAAGCCACACCCCCATGGCCATGCCCACCCAGCAACCGGGCAGAGCAATAGCAATAGCAATAGCAGTAGACTTATATACCGCTTCATAGGCCTTTCAGGCCTCTCTAAGCGGTTTACAGAGAGTCAGCATATTG